TGAACTCGTTAAGCTGATGTGGCGCAAGCGTGGAAGAACCCAATGCTCCTCTGTGGGCAGAGCCCGGTTCCCTGTTGGTTCCATGCTGACACTCCACTTTGGGCATGGACTGATTATTTCTCTCCTATAATCAATCACCTTTACGCCTACCTTGTGTGCCCTAAGTGTCTGTCTCTGTGGACATGCATGATCTGGATTCACCAAGATGGCAGTTTCTCACTGTGCTCCAGATTCCTAGCTTAAGTACATTCCTCTACACTCACAGTTGATGCAGTCAAACAAAACCCTGACCTCACACGCACCTCCGCAGGATATTATGCCAAACATAAAGCAGAAAACATACCTATGTGTTATATGGTTGTTGGGAACAGGCAAAAGCACCTTGTCCTAAGTACTGCCATTTTGATTCATACCCTATTTTACCTGTTGGGTGAAAGAAGTTCTAGTTCCCAGGCCCTTCGAGAGCTGGGGCCTTTCCAGTAGCTGACAGTAGAAATAGTGCTCTATGCATCTTTAGTTCTCTAAAACATTACGGCTGTTCCCAGTGACAGAACAAATCAATCTGTATGGAAGGACAGAAAAGCTTACATTGTGTGTCCGTTGACCACAATGGAATACATCAGGAAAGCTCCTAACCTTTGAATTCTGATTGGTGGGAAGATGTTGCTGTGACTCAGCTCGGGGGTTTGTGGGTTTGTGCTGAAATACTTGCTGATCAGAACATCTGGGAGTGCAGTCAGCTCCCGAGCTTCTACTGTTGTCCCTGATGTAAGGCTCAGTTTCTGCTGGGATGCCAGTAAGAAATCTTCGTTTGTGTGTCCTCCTGTGTCTGCTTGGGTTGTTTCAGAGCCTCAGATCCTCAACATGGTTATTGTCCCTTCTTGTAAGGGGGGATGGCATCACATTTCGCATGACATGTAATAAGGACTCCATGGGAGGGATAGATTCTAGCAGTCTATAATTAGCCCTGGTCCTGATATGAAACTGATAAAAACAGCTCATGACAAAAACATAAAATGTGCTCTTAAAAATATATTCAGGGCTGGGTAGGGGTGGCTCATGCCTTTAATCCCAGCATTTAGGAGGAATAGACAGATGGTTCTCTGTGAGTTCATGGCCAGCCTGGTTTACAGAGCGGGTTCCAGGACAGGTTCTCAAACTACAGAGAAACCCTGTCTCGAAAAACAAACAAACAAACAAAAATTCGGAGGGGTTGGATTGTATATATAACAAGCTTTTTTGGACCATCAGCAGACAAATAATGACATGGAGACTTATTAATTATGAAACTTGGCCTTAGCTTAGGCTGTTCCTAACTTGTTCTTATTTTCTTTTTTATGTATACAAGTGTTCTGTCTGCACGTACAACTTTATGCCCGAAGTGGGCATCAATCCCACAATGGATGGTTGTGAGCCATCACGTGGTTGCTGGGAACTGAACTCAGGGGCCTCTGCAAGAGTAGCCAGTGCTCATAAATGCACAGCCATCTCTCCAGTCCCCTAACTTCTTATAGCAAGGTTTCTCTATATAACAATCCTGGTTGTCCTGGAACTAGCTCTGTAGACCAGGCTGGCCTTGAATTCACAGAGACCCGCCTGCCTCTCTCTCCCTAGTGCTGGGATTAAAAGTGTGTGCCACCATCGCCTGGCAAATTAACCTGCGTTTTTAAATCTATGTTCTTCTGCAAGGCTTGGTTACCTTTGCTCTGCACTATCAATCTCTGTCTGGGTGTTGATTCCCCCTTTCCTCCCAGAGCTCTCTCTGCCTATAGCTCATGCCTAGCTGGCTATTGGCTGTTTAGTTCTTTATTAAACCAATCACAGGGGCACATCTTCACACGGAATAAAGGAATTTCCCACGACAGGGCTGGAGTTCAGTGGCTCAGCCCTTGCTCAGGATGTGTGAAGTTGTAGGTTCGATCTCTTTTGTACTGCCAAGGAAGAAAGAGAAAAAATTTCAGGTTCCTCACAGGGGGGTACCCACTAATTTCTAGACTTCAAAAGCAGTTTCCTTTATTTAAATAAGCCTATAAAAACTTGAATTATTATAACTACATAATTACCTGCTCATGATTACCCAAGACAGCACTGGCCTTGAAGTACGTCTTTTCCTTTCTATCCTAAAGGTGCTAATGGTAACACTCACTCAGGCGGCTGCTTAAGTGAGAAAGCATGAATACACTCTCACATCCGGTTTCTCAGTCCAGTGATACACGGTGCTAGAGGCTTTGTAAACATTGGTCATATTCTTTGGGTCTGTTGCACAATTTTGTCTTGAGAGTCTCGGTACATGAAATACATCTGTGACTGTGTTCTCTGTCTATTCAAGCACGCTCTTCCAGGCTCTGAGCTGGGGGAGCGAACGGGAAAGCTAACACTGCAAAGACTGAGAAGTTCCTGGTTAATATCTAACCTTTCTTTTCCTCTCCTCCCTTATGCTCCCCAGGACTGGCCTTCATGAAAGCTAGGCTACTAAGAACTCTATCAATGAGTCACATTCTTAGCCCTTGTCTCTGGTCTCCTAATAGAACAACTCTGAGATGTGTTCTGTAGTTTGTTTCTTTTCTTCTTTATTTTTTCCCCCTCAAGACAGAGTTTCTCTGTGCAGCCCTGGCTGTCCTGAAACCAGACTGGCCTCAAACTCAGAGATCACCTGTCTCTGCATCCCACGTACTGGGTTAAAGGAGTGCACCACCACTGACTGCCTGTGCTCTGTAGTTTCTTAGGTTGCAGAATTAAGCCCATCACCCACACACAAACCCCTCTTTGATGCCCCGTTCCATGATACCTTCCCTTCCTCAACTCTTCATCCTTTAGGGTGCCTATCGAGGGCACCCCCTAAGTAAACTTTGCACTCAAATCCCATCTCAGAGCCTGATTTGGGAGGAAGGGATCTAAACTAACACAGGGATGGCTTTGAGAATGTGGGAAAAAACAAGATTCTCCTCCCAAGGGAAATATGCCATATTGTCAAGAAACAAGGATGGGATCTGGTGATAGAAGGGTCAGGGTCCCAGAACCATTCTCTGTTTCCTTATCAAGGGAGCCATAAGCACAAGTGGGATAAAACCATAATTTCATCAGGAGTTTAAAGAAATACTTAAAACTACCTCATTTAAAGTACATCTTATGTAGCGGGGCTCCCTAACTATTTGCTATCATAGTACACCTTTCCTGTATGACACTTTATAACTTATAAAACTTATAATTGCCTATTTGTTAATTTATGTAAGCTGTCAACATTACGAAAACTGCATACTCCACCAAACAAACAAAGCTAAGTGTACCCTTGTTAAGTCAGTACTCAGATGGAAGATACTCTAGAGGTTGGAGCTTGGACTTGTGGCCTCAAAACCTCAGTTCCTTGCTCACTAAAACTATAGCATTGAAACCTCCATCAGGCCACAGAGAGTAAGTCAGGGACAGTGGAAATAAAGTGACCTATAGAGCAGGTTCTGGCTCTACGAATCCGCTAAGGCAAATGTATGAGGAGGCGAATGCATCAATGAACGTACAGTGATAACATCTAACGATGACTTTGACCCAATTTCTTGAAATTCCACCACGAGACTGGTAGCTCCTCTTCTTGGTGGAAAGGGAAGAAGAGGAGGCAGCCATGCATGAACTATAATTTCAAGGTAATGAAATAAAAATGTAAAGTTGTTGACACAGCCCAAAAGTTCCAGATTATTTTTGGATTACTGATTTATTTTAAGTTTTCGAAACAGGGTTTCTCTGTAGACCAGGCCTTTCTATCGTGAGAAACCTAATCCTGCCCATTTCCTCTTCTCCTTCCAGTAAGAACAAGTCATCACACGCAGCAACTGTGCCACCCGTAATGCCTGAGACGAACTCCACAGCCAGCCAGGCCTTGCACCTTGGCTGGAATATGCATTCTGTCCTTTCCTTTCCTGCTTGTGGGCTCCCTTCTGGAGAGCCGGGCAGCGTCTGCGCCGTCTGCACCGAGCAGGGACGCCCCTGAGACCGAGGAGACGCAGCTCGCTCCCGCCCGGCCCCTGGAGGCGGCGCTCACAACTTCCGCCTCGGAAGAAAAAAAAAAAGTCATCCCGGGCCGCGCTTCCGGCCCCACACCGGAGCCGCAAGGCCTTTTATCCTAGTTGGCTGTGGCCCGCCAACCCCGCCCAGCTTCTCCACACCCCGGGCTTCTCCGCTCACGCCCTGGGGAGCGGCTTGCACGTTGCGAGGGTGTGGCGGTGACGCCGTGACGTCGCCCCAGAGAACGGCGTCCCGAACGGCTTTAGCTCTCCGGCGGAACAGCGGGCAAAGCGCCTGGAGGCGGGACTCAGGGATGACTGATGTCCACTCCCGCCAGTGGCCCTCCCCATGCTTCCTCAAACCAACCAATAAGGGAGACGTGAAGACCGCAACGTCCCTCCGCCACGGGAAGCTCCGCCCCCTCCGTTTGGCACTCCGTGGCCGCCATGCTTAGCGTGGCTCCTCGTCCTGCGGCAGGCAGTGCGCTCCAAGCTGGCTCCCAGACGCCCTCGGTGGACTCCTTCACGAGCATTCCCTCCCTCCGACCGTCGACTCCCACGTCTCCGGCTCCTCCCTCGCTCGCCGCCTGTCCCGCCACACCTAAGATGGCGGCTCGGGGGCGGGGCGGGGCCTCCCCGGCGTGCTGACGTCAGCGCGTAGCGTGTCGGCAGGTGGAGGGAGAAGGGAAAGTTTGGCCCGTGCTTGGGGTTCGGGTGGAGGGCGGGACGGAGGGGCAGGGCCGAGGAGAAGCTCGCGTCGCGGTGCGGCGGAGGCCGAGGCCGGCTCGTGGGCCGGGCTAGGGACTGCGGGACGCGGAGCCGCGGGAGGCCAGGTCGGCCGCAGCCGCAGCCGCAGCCGCGCGTCCCCGCCCCGGGGCCGCGTTTGACCCGCGCGCCCCGGCGTCGAGCGCCCCGAGGCTGGGCCGGGCGGCGGCCGGTGGGGGGCGGCGGCCGGGCGTGGGGAGGCGGCGGCGGCGGCGGCGGCGGCGAGTTGACCCGAGAGCCGCGTGCGTGAGGGAGCGGGCGCGCGGAGCCCGGCGCTGCGGCCGTCATGTCGGAGGACTCGAGCGCCCTGCCCTGGTCCATCAACAGGGACGACTACGAGCTGCAGGAGGTGATCGGTGAGAGCCGGGGGTGCGGTGCGGTGCGGTGGTGGGGGGGGCGACTCTGCGGGCCCGGGCTGTGCGGGGCACGGGTGGGGCCCCCTCGGCAGGGCAGGCAGGCGTGCCCCGGGCAGAAAGGCGTGTGCATGGATGGGCGGCAGGCCCGGTCCAGGCGGCCCTGGGGGCCGTGGCCAGAGCCGTGTGTCCCCGGGCTTGTGCGCGTTGTGCGCGCTGGAAAGTCCATCCCTGCATCCTGCATCCGCGCGCCGACTCCTTCGAGCGTGCAGCAAGTACGAGTTTCCAGGGGTGGGGTGACGGGGGCTGCAGGTAGGTTCCCCGGTGCTGGGCTCCCTCCTCACCACTGAACTCAACTTCTCCACGCCGACCGACTAGAGAGTACGAGAAGGCTGCGACGGGTCCTGGTGGGTGGCCGGAGGGAGGGAGTGAGATTAGTTACAACGAGGGGTGATTCGGACGAGTTGCGGGAAGAGCTGTTACGTTGAGCCCTGAAGTGAGTTGTGAGTGGAGGGGACCCCCCCCCCCCCCCGCTCCCAGGGGTTGAGGATATGTGAAGACCCGGAGGAGAGGGGAAGTGCTTGCTAAGTTTTAGGACCAGAAAGAGGGCACCATGGCAGACACCATGCCTCTTCAGAGGAGCTTAGTGCTTGAGGAGATGTTTAGGGGCAGGGTTTGTAGCACACACAGAGATAAAGAGGGGATGGGTTTGGTTAAACAAAGGCTTACTCATCTGACATGAGCAGCCTCCCGAGTGTTCGAAGCTCGTCTACACTGCCAGCCTCTTGTCTTAAAAGTAGTTTTGTAAGAGGGAACACCAGCCGAAGATCCCGTGGTGCCGTGTTCATTGGACTGCTTGTGTTCAAAAAAAAAAAAGCAAATTTCTGTGTAGGTGTGTCTGTGTGCCCGAGTGTGTACCCCCCCCCCCGTGTGTGTCTGTGTGTGTGTGTGCGTGTGCTTGTGTGCCTACTTTCCACCTTATGTTTTGATCAGCCTTATTAGTTGACCTGATACTCGCTCACCATTGGCTGGCTGGTTAGTCAGACTCCAGAGTCCCCCTGCCTGTGCCTCCAGCTCGGTATTACTGGGCCTAAGGCTTTCCATGGGTGCTGGGGATCCATACTCAGCTTGTTAGGCCTGCACATCGAGTAGTTCTTAGGTAGGGAGGGCAGCCTGGTGGAAGATCTGCTGTGTAGCTGAGGCTGGTCTTGAACTCCTTATCCTCCTGCCTCCATGTCTCTAAATTTCATTTTTATACTTGGTCCATATTCCAAAAACATGGACCAAGTTTTATATAAAAGACATCAGCTGCCCAGTAAGATGGCTCAATAGGTAGAGGAGCCCACTGCCAAGCTTTTTTATCTGGCAACCCCTGCCTGCCCCCATAGAAGTGTAATAAATGTGAAGAATGTTTGGTCTTTAAGTCATCTCATAGGTCTGCCCTTGCTGCATGCTGGATCTTTAATGTGTCCTGGTTGAGCTAGCTACACCTCTCCTACTTGGGACCTTAAATTTCATACTGACAGAACGCCGTCAGAACAGTAACAGAGCCCCTGTTGTTGTTGTGGGAGAATAACGTTGCTTTTCTTTGTGGTGGGGTGTACATCCTTCCTAGTCTCCACTTTCTCCATAGCCTAATGGCAGGAGTGGGTGGGGTCATTCTTGATGCTTTTGCTGTTGAACTAGGAGCTTTGAGAGTTGCAAGGGCTATAGAGATTAGTAACATCCGTTTGTATACTCAGATGTATAGAAAGAATGTCTGAGTGGGCAGTAGGAAGGGCTCTTGTTAGGTTTCTGAGAGTGGGTTCTCGCTCTGGTCACAGAGTGGTCCAGGGTTCACCAAAGGTTACGAATGCCAGTGTGACCTGGTCTGCTGATGGCTGGAGAGGCGGACAGTGTGGTTAGGAGCACTCACTGCTCTCCAGAGGACCTGGCTTTGGACCCTGGCACCTGTGGCAGGTGCTCACAGCTGTCTGTAAGAGAGGCTCCAGGAGGCCTGGCGACCCCTTCTGGCCTCAGGCACCCACATATGTAAGACATTCAAACACACAGATACACACATGTATACATAGATAAAAATAAAATCTTAAACTGTATGAAGTATGACTTAATGTCATGAATTTCGGTCATTAGAACTTTTGGTGGCTTGGGGTAAGGTCACTATTCCCGCCACCCTTGTGAGAGTCCTGTGGACTTCATGCCTCCAGTCCCAGCAACCACACATTATCTTTGCTATAGGTTTGTCTTTTGTGGATGTCACTGAAATAGGACCATATAATAATGTGACCTTTGCTGTTTGTCTTTGTCACACAGCACATTAGTTTTCCTTTCCTAAAAAAGGTTCTGGAAGTATAAGTTCATTCCGTAAAATTTACCTGATTAAAGCGTCCAGCTCAATAATATTTCAGTGGATTTGCAGAGTTGTGCAGTCTTCACCACAATCCAGTTTTAGAACATTTCTCTCATTCCAAAATGATGTCTCACATTCATTTGCAGTAACTGCCTGTCCCACCCCAGCCCTGGGCAAGCAAAGCTCTGCTTTCAGTTTATATGGATTTGCCCTCTGGACATTTCATATGAGAGTAATCATAGACCTGTATTCCTTGGTGCTTGTCACCTCTGGCTCTGCATACTTGCTGAGGTTTACCCAGGTCCCATTGCATGAAGTAATGCTTATGCATAGTTCCTGCTTACTGGACACCAACCAGTTGATGAGTATTGGATTGTTTCTGCTCCTTGGCTGTTTGGAACGGAGCCATTAGCATTCACATCAAGTCTTCTTGGAAAATGTTTTATTTTCCTTGTACAAACTCAGGAGTAGAATTGCAAGGTCATTATAGTAAGTTCAACTTCTCTCTGTAAACTGCCAAATTGGCTTTTCAGAGTACCCATAACATTTTACGTTCTTCTGCATTGTGTGAGGATTCCCATTTCTCCACAACTTAGCAATTTGTCTTTTTCTGTATGTGTGAATATATTTGTGTGTTCAAGGGAGCAAGCCCAGGACCTCACATGTGCTAAACGTGTGCTTGCTGCTCAACTACATAGCTAGGTCTCTGGCTATGGCCATTCTAGTGGCTATGAAGTGGCATCTCGGTGCTTTTCTCTAAGGACTAAGGCTGCGAAGATCTTTTTACTGCTTGCTTATTAGATTTCACACACCCACACCTTTAATTTTCTTACTTGGGTTGTACTTTGGTACTTTTTTGAGGCAAGGCTCCCCTTAGGAGAGCTGGTCTGGTCTTGAATTGGTGGCAGTTTTCTTTATTTTTTCCCCGAGATGAGGCATCACTGTATAGCTCTGGCTTTTTGATATATATATACATATATATATATATATATATATACACGTATGTATATATATATGTATATATATATATATTATTATTATTATTAATTGTTTTGAGACAGGGTCTAGCTAAGTAGGTGTGGCTGGCCTGGAACTTGAAGAAATCCTTCTACTTCTGTCTTGGAGGGTTGAGATTATAGGCCTGAGCAACCACACTTGGCTAAAAGATTTACATTTCAGTGAAGTTTCTTTTTATGTTGATTTTGCTTTTGCTTTATAGTACCTAAGATATCTTTGCCTAACATCATAGAGAGTTTTTTGCTATTTGCTTTAAGCATTGTAACTGTAGCTGCTCCATCTCAGTGTGTGTGGTACACTTTGAGGCCTTTGTGTGGTGAGAGATAAGGTGTACTGCCTTGTTTTGTTTAAAGACATTGAGATGTAGAAGGTGAGAGAGCAGCTTTCAGGTCTCTCCCTCTGCCGGGTTGGCTCTGGGGCTAGCTAGGCTCAGGTCATCAGGTACCTTTACCCTTTGAGCATCTCACTGCCGCCGCCTCCTCATGGGTGGTAAAACAACAAAAAGCCTGCCCTGGGAACATGCTACACATGCTGGGATTCAAAAGACTTCCTTTCAAAGAATTTTATCTTAAAGATGCTTTTGCAGGCGTTAATGCTTCCTATACGACCATTTGTAGAAGGAATTAGTACCTCACAGCTAATCATCCATCAGTTTAGTAACAAATGTTGAGATTTTGCATTGGGAATTCTTGCATTAGGAATTTTCAGCATATTATGGCTGGAGAGATGGCTTGTTAGTTCAGAGAGCATTTGCTGTTGTTCCTGAGGACCTGGGTTCAATTCCCAGAACCCATGTTTGTTTAGTAGCTCACAACTGCCTGTAACTCCAGCTACAGGGATCTGACACCTTTTTCTGGTCTCTGTGAGTGTGTGAACACATATAAAAATAGAATGTTTTCAAAAAGAATTTCAGCATGGATATACTATATTTGATATGTGTGAAGACAGGTTTTTTTTTTTTTTTTTGTTTTGAGGCAGGGTTTCTCTTGTAGCACAGGCTGTTCTGGCACTTGCTCTGTAGACCCGGCTCGCTCACATAGATCCGCCTGCCTCTGCCTCCCAAGTGCTGGGATTAAAGGCGTTTGTCACCACTGCCTACTTGTGGAGAGAGTTTTAAAAATAAGGAATTTGGGATTAGACTGACTAATCTTGTCTTTAACACTTAATAGCTTTTTTATTGTGGGCATATTTTGTGCAGTTGGATTTTGTTTTGATTTTTTAATATGTATTAGTGTTTTGTCTGCATGTATGTCTGTATGAGGATGTTGGATCCTCTGGATCTGGAGTTACAGACAGTTATGAGCTGCCTCATGGGGTTGGGAATGGAACCAGGGTCCTTTTGAAGAGCAGTCAGTGTTCTTAACTACTGAGCCATCTCTCTGGCCCCTATTCAGCTTGTATTAATAATGCTGTCTAAAGTAGTTGTTTTTTTTTTTTTTTTTGTGACAGGCTCTCTACATAGCCTTGGCTATCCTGGAACTCACTAGAGCACGCTAGCCTCAAACTCATAGACATCCACCTGCCTCTGCCTCCCAGTACTGTGTGTTAAAAGATTTGCACTACCATGCCTGGCCCCTTTGTCTTATAGTTCTCAGACTCTTATTTGCTAAGAAACATGAAATTCTATGTGATGGGT